AAGGCTATGCTGCACAGACTGAAACAAGGACAGTAACCATCAGCTATTTGTATAAAGGATAAGGCAATTATTTGGTGTCTCTAACCTTACAAAAAGTGCACGTTGTTTGTTTTCAAAGTAACAGGAACTTAAATGGGATGTTGTTGCTGTTGCATTAAATAAACCTTAAAGAACACTAAGGCTTTCGCTTTATATCAATGATCAGCCCTGTGTTAACTTGAATTTGTGTAGAAAATTAGTTTTTCTTGGATAAATGTCCATTTTTTATTCTATAACAACTGGGCCATGTATTACAAAGCCAAGCTACATCAGAAACATTTGTATAAACTCTCTCACACACTTGTGCGGTATAATCAAAGTCTCATTCTATCCAGTCGTATGCTCACTTTTTTTGCTCAAACGTACTATTACTATATTCTACTAACTTACTATTCACAAAATATAGTGCTCTGCTCACAAAGATGAGTTGCATGTGAGATTGTTAATTCTGAGTTATTTACTTCAATTCATGAAGATCATTTTCTGTTGTGGGTTGCATGCAAGAAAATAAAAATAAATTCATAAATTCCACACGAGCTGATGATAACGATAAACAAAATGCATCAATTCTTCCTCGCGGTAGTATGGTGCTGCATAATACTGCATTACATGAATCACACAGACTTTTTGTTAATATTAAGGTCACTGAAACTGAATCTAAACTTCGGTGAACCTGGTTTGCATATCTTCAGTATCCAATGTTTAGCTGCCAAACATACCAGTGCTTCAGTTATTATATTATTGAGTGATTTGTACAGAACATCTGTGAATCTGCAATCCATATGACTTGGATACTGGTTGATTGCCGAGAGGGAAAAGTGTATCCCTAAAAGAAAACACATGATGAGGCTGATGGAAACAGCTGACACTAACCTGGATAGGAGAGGTGGACCTGCTCTGGCTGGGTCCAAAAGGGAGGAACACCGAGCACCAACAGGGGTGCGAGGCTCATCAAAAACACAGGCATGAACAGGAACCATTTTGAGACTGAATACAGGAACGACAGCCTGGATAAAGAAGCAACACACACCCAGGACATCAAATCATCTTGTAACTCTAATCACATGATGTTAAAAGCTTTCATGCAGACATCACATGACACAGTGTCTATTGATGTGAACCAAGAGGATCAATGTTTTAAAATGACAACCCATGGGATGAGAAATGCAGAACTTAAAGGGCAGAGTCAGCAGCAGAACAGATGATGTGACAATAAAAGCAGCTGATGTTTTGTTTTTCATTGTGCATTCAGGGAAGTCAAAGTGAGTACAGCAGGGATTAGCTTCCGCAAGCCACAACTTGCCTCTGATCAATAGGGTGCTAAGGCGAACAGCTGATACTGTATGCCTGACTGATCAGAGGAAAGGCACTCTCAGGGTCATTACCCACAAAGGACAAAAGCAAGTTTGATTTGAGCCAAAACACAATGCCAGTAAAACTCATTATCATTTGTAAACTGCCTCACCTGACTAGCAGACTCAAAACAACACATTTAGATCAAATCTGCTTCTTTAACATAGTATTTGATTTTGTAATCTGCACCATTGATATCTCAGTAGTCGCTAGAGGGTGCTCCCTGCAAACTGCATTATGAATAGATGCTTTATTCTCTGACAATGGGCGGCAGTTGATATCGGTTGTTACTAACAGTATGTTGGCAGTCGCTTACAAGAGATACAAGGAAGGTTTAACTCTGTATTGTCTCCGGTGAGGAATGGAAAGAGGTAAGCAAATCATTTAGGACAAGTTATTCGTCTTCTAGCGACGCTGTTGTGATTTGAATCAGTTTCATAGAACAATGGTTGTAACGTTAACCCGTGGTAACTTGTTTAGTCGGTTTATTAAGCTTTATAGCTGGCGAATTCCAACCTTTCTGTTATCAACGTGTGTAGCGTTACGCCAAATATACCGTTACGACAAAGGAAACGTATTTTTACGTTGTACAGGACAACCCCTGCACTTTAAAGATACTGAATAAGCCTCTCCAAACGCTTAAACACTGTCTGACAAGGATACGTTAGCTAAATGTTATATTAAAAACACTCACCAAAACTATCTTTGTCCCCGCCGTCAGGGAGCACTTCCCTGGTTTACGTCACAGCACAACAATGCCCACGTGGATTGTGGGAAATAGTAGTGGTTAAGCCTGTGTAGAGTAGACCATAGAATGTATATGGTGTGTAGTAGACAGAACAAAATACAACATGAATGATTTTAGACACACAAACTATAATGGGTGTTGACAATGATAATCTGACTGTGTGCTTGTATTTGTTTAATCAGGTAGGCTATAACAATGTATTATAGCTGTCTTAAAATGGCCTTCTCTTTCTTAAGGTATAATGGACTCTAACAGTGAAGACGGAGACTACCAAAGTCTTGAACATGCCCAGAAACAGGATGCAGCCCAGTACAGAGTGAAGTATCCTCATGGTAGAAACACAACAAATGTGAGTAGATTGACACATTGATATACACACATTTATTTCTATATGCTGGTCCTCTTTTACTGCTTATAATTGTGTTATTTATCACCATGCAATATCTTTACATGCAGATGGATAAAGATAAAAGTGAGGAATTTAGCAAAAAGAGGTAGGTCATGCATGTTTTTGGTTACATTTTCATATAATGCATGATGGGACTTGTTTTCAACGTAAAGATTGAACTTTGTACCATGACCAGGAATCCAGTGAGTCGTTCCAGCACCCGGGGAGAGTAAAGCGGGTAGTCTCATGTAAGAGAAAGACCCATCATCTGACGGTGCCTCGGAGGAAGCAGCACTGGGAGGACTTATAATGCTGCAAACAAGGAGAATGGCATGGACTGCAGGAAGGACGTTCAACAGGAGGGATTTGACATGAACCCTTCAGAGTTCCCGCTAAATGTCAATAATAACCTAAAGACTGGTAGAACTGGTTCTGAACAAGCCGACTACTGTACACTCACTGAGGTTAGAAATACTATCATAGCCCGGGCTACATTTCTGCTTCTTGCATTGTCTTTTATTTGTTACTAATATGCAGGTAAACCATCTGAACCTGACAATGTTTTTCAGCTCACAAGGGATCATAGCACAATGACTGAGGTGCTCTTTGGAAGAAACCTGAGACTGAAAGTATCTTTAACACTATGGCAGAGAAATGTTGGAGAGCTGTTGATGTATTTCCTAAGGTATGTAATGTGTAGTTGGTTTTCACAAAGTGACACTATTTCATCTGATTTCAAAAGTTGACATACTTAACTGTCTTTTTACAGAATTCAAGACATTGGTGTGTTTGTTGATTTTCTACCACTGATATGCAAAAGGTGAGTGACTGAATAATTGCAGAAGTCTGAGTCTCGCTGCCTACAAGTTGAGTTAATGTTAAGTTAATCTAATTTTTCTTTTCAGCATTGAAGAACATTCCCAGAAGGTCACCATTGGCTGTTGTGTTGACCTCTTTCCTTTAGTAAGGAGAGTCCTAACCAATCCTATGAAGAAGTGAGTATTTCTGGTGAAATGTACTTCTAGTTTTGCAATAGAATTGAATTATTACAGAATAAAATGCATTGAGCACTTACAGAAATCAACAGTATGTGTAAGGATAATAGAAACCATTAAGTACTAATACAGTAAGATATTTATTTTCCCCCAGGTATATCATAGTTGGTTTAAAGTGGATTAATTCTTTTGAACAGCTGGTGTGAGGAATTAAGAACAAGTGGCTATAGTGGATCAACAAAGCTTCCAATGGATAAGTAAGTGCAGTTTTATGAGTTGTATGATACTTCAGACTGATTAATTCTGCATAGATTCATGTGAAGTTATCTTGTTAAAGCATACCAAAATCATTAGGACACATTTAATAAAATAAAACATATAATACCATCTACCATTTAATACAAGCCAGAATGTGCCACTATTTTCAAAAACAAAGTACACATCCATTGTGGTAAAGTATTTTTACTTTGTTTCAGAAATTGCCAGGCATTTAATCAGCAGTTATTGGAGTTATGGTTTCAGGAACCTTTACTGAAATCTGTTCCAGGACCTGCTGGAGACATGGCAAAGGTCAGTACTGCATGTATGAATAAAATCCTTACCACTTTTCTTAATCTAAAAAGGTCTTAGTCTTACATCATGATCTTTCTCCCTAAGGTCATTGACTCCTTCCTGTCCCAACTAACCTGACGGCAAAAAGGAAACGTACAAAAGATCCTTCTCCAGGAGCAGCCTCCTAAAAAACCTTTCACAGAATCATTTGGAGCTGATGTTGTTTCTATGGAAAAGTAACTTTGAGCTTGTACTGTACCTGTCCTGAGAGGACATCTGTAGTGATGTAGTGACTGGATGATAAACTTGAAAAGTTTAAATACTGAGAACGTGCAATACAAATGTAATCTTGTTGCAAATTTAACTTGATTGTCAAAGTGGGATCCTGTAATCATATGATCAATGAGAGGTAATGTATGTCAAAGAAACTCTGATTGTGTCCTGAATGTACAATTGTTATACTGATATATCGTTTGTGTCTATCTTCTTTGATTGAACCATTGATGATAAATAAAATGTGTAATTTACAGTAAATGTAAAGTTTGTTGTTGAAGTATAGTATATTTGGTACAACCAAGGCAACGTCTATAAATCCCCTTTTCAGCAGGAGAGTGGTTTTACTTCTGAAACTGCAGCTGCTTTAACAACACTGTTCTTTACCTTAAAGCACAGTTAAAGGAATACACTTCCAGATCAACAAATACACTTCCAGATCAACAAAACACATTTGAGTTAAATCCCTACAATTCAGTCCCATCTGCACTTCAGTTTCATTTGCTATTGAAGTGATTTAAGTAGATCAGAGATAAGTGTTTACATAGATCATATCTCCCCATTTACATGTAGGTTTATCCCCCATGACACAGATAAGTGGAGGGTTGGTAGTTGTCATTGGGATGTTAAACTGAGGCTGAAGTCCAGCTGTGACTGCAGTAGAAGGCTGTGTGAAGGGACCTGCAATCAGTGAACTCTCAGCAGCCAACAGTCCTGCATGCATTCCAGTGATTCTCATTCAACAAGTGGAGATTAATATAGTGGAAGTGTGGAAGATTTGGGTAAATACAACAACATATATGTTGTTGTATTTAACAGGGTTGTCCTTAAAGGTAAGGCTTTTTTCACTACACCTTGTTAGTGTTCTGTTCATTTAGTACACTGAATTCAGTAAGAAGCGTACAGTGCTGTGTTATTAACTGTTGGTTTGACAGCAAAGGAAAGTGTAGGATGCAGTGTGTGAGATGCTGGCTGCTAGCAGCGACCCTGGTGCTGCTCAGTGTGGCTGGAGTCGACATGGAGTACCTCCAAGCTGAGAACCTAAATCTTCTTCCCCCTGATGAGCATAACTTGGTCCTGAACGGTGGAATGAGAGGTATTTATTTGTGCAGACTTTTACTTTCAGTTCTTTTTGCTGCTTGATGTCAGTAACGTACTTTGCTTGCAGTTGTTGGGAATTTGAAATGGTCATAACTTGTGCAGAATCTTGAAAACTCAAGCTAGCATTAGAGATATAGTATGCACTATGTGTCCTGTGATTGCTTTAATCATTTTTAATTACTTTTATCTTAGATTATCAGTGTGGATTATCCAAAGAGTGAGGGTCAAATTCCAAGCCTAACTTGTTTAGTGACTTATTCATGATAAGTGTTATGTCCCGTGAGGTGATTTGTGCATCTTAGTGAGATCATTTTTCAGACAAACAGTTGTAATAGTTTCGCAATTGATCAAGGTTTAACATGTTTACCTGGGAGGAATTGAGAAATAGTGCTGTGCTGTTGACATCAATGTTATGACTAATAATCACTGGCATTGCTGTTCAATGGCTCAGTGTAGTGTTTTACGCTGCCACCTGGAGGTCTAGATATAGATGTTCTCACATTGTTCAAAAAGTGGTTGCAAAGATTAATAGTTTCACTTAGAATTCTCAGGAAATACAGTTATTTAATGTATTGCAGGGAGCTACATTTTAGAGGTTTGACCAATGTGTACGATGCATCTGAAGCTAAATCTAGCAGCCTGTTAGTTTCTTAGCACAAAGATTAGTTACAAGATCCACAATCAGCGACCAGCTCCCCTAAAACAATGCAGTGCTTTATTTTTGCATCTAATCTAATCGCAATAAAGCAAATTAGCAGCCACAATTTGAGGGGCAGCTCTGCTTCAAAAGTACCAATATGGAAGAGAGTAACAAGCACCCAAAGAAACACAATGACTTTAAAGAGAGACACATTTTCTACAAAGTGATACAAAGAGAGACAAACAGGCTCCTGATATTAAAAATGTAATCATCTAAGGATACATGAAGGTTGATTGTTCCATCTGTTTATCATACCTAATCTATCAATCACCAGTCAGGAATTAAATATACATTTACCCAACAGTGCTGCCCAGAGACTGCCATGAAATGCTGATGACATCTTCGGGCAAGGCCAGAGACGGGGTTTACCTGATCCAACCAGGTGACCTCCGAATCGTGGCCTATTGTGCCATGCAGGAGGGAGGCTGGACCGTGGTGCAGCATATCACCGTCAATAGCAGTGTGGATTTCGATCGTACCTGGGCTGAGTACAAGAATGGCTTTGGGGCTGTAACTGGTGATCACTGGCTCGGAAACGAATACATTCATCAGCTCACCCGTGGCCCTGGGCGCTACAAACTGGGAATAAAACTAGTGGACCAAGAGGCCGTCACTAAGACGGGGGAGTATGATCCATTCCTGGTGGAGGGTGAATCATCAGCATACAGGCTGAGGCTGGGCTTGTTCCAGGGCTCAGCTATTGACGCTCTGACCCTGGACACAGAGAACTACCTGCATGACAACCAGAGGTTCACCACTAAAGACAGAGACAATGACAACTACTTCCAAAATTGTGCTAAGCTGGAGTTTCAGGGGGTGCCGGGAGGAGGTTGGTGGTACGACGCGTGTGCTGGTGCCAACCTCAATCGCAGAAATGTTATCTACTGGCAGAAGGACTGCAATAAGGAGCGACTGTGCAAGTATGCATGGATGATGGTGAGACCTTCAGACACAGTTAAACTGATTCAAAGTCGAGACTGCAAGAAGGATGAGCTATGAGAAACCAGGATTTGGCAACTATTGAGGGCCAGGAGTTTAGTTTTTTTAAGGACATTTTCTTTGTGCTGGACATGCAATTTACCACTTTTATTCAGAAATGCATGGACAGGATCACAAAATACTGAAAAGAACAAAAAAGAATCACAAAATTGAAACACAGTATAAAAATGCAGTACATTTTAGCTGTAGCTCCATTGATCACCATGTCAATACATGAAGCAAAAGGTCTCATAACTCCCCAAATTGCAAGTGCAGATTCATCACAGTTACAAAAAGTGTTTCATGACATTATAGCTTATGACACATGTACATTTTTTTCCACGTCATCTCTGATCCAACACGAAGGAACATTTCACAAATAGCATTTTATTTGCCACAGTACATTACACGTTTTCCAGAAGTACAATGAAGATATGATGACATATTTACTAAGCTACATTAATTCAGAGGAAGAAAATACTATATTTGAACGCAAAAAAAACATCCTTTAAAAGTTACAATCTTGATTATGCAAGCAGGTTCTGACCTTAGGAAAACATGTAAAGCAACTTTAAAATGTGCATTCTCAATACAAATAAAAAATGTAAATACCAACAGAATACATTTGCATGTGTTTTGACTTTTTGGGTGGAAGAGCATCAATACAGGAGTTATCAAAGGGTTGGAGCAATTTGGTATGATACAGATGTTAAACTGTGCATCTTGAATACAACAACGGTCTGTGTAAAAATAATTTCAGTATTAATCGATGGCATATCCTGCATAAGCACATCCATTTTGGGGGGAAATACTAGTATTTCCTTACGTTTTAGAATATATTTACACTGTCACTGTTTTTTTTGGGGCACTTTTATAATGTCTTCCATTTCCAAAGTTATAAACATCCACTATAGCAGAACAACTGATTAATGAGCAACATTGTACATTGTACCAGTTCCTTGACACAGTTTTAATACTTTTGATACTGGGTAAAATTCAAGTTCATGAAGCCTACATTGACAATAGAAACATATACCTAACAGCCATTATCCTAGAATAAAATAGTTCATGTCATTTGGAGCTGACCACAGGGTTTTGTCCATACCAGTAAAGTTTCTCCTCAATCCTTTTCTTCTTCCACTGGCAAAGTAAGAGCATACGGAAGGTCTTTTGGAAAGTCTTGTTACAAAGGGCGTAGCACATGGGATTGACGGTGCTGTTGACGTAGCACAGCCAGTAGCCCAGATGCCAGAGGGAGGGGGGAATGCAGTCTTTGCAGAAGGTGGAAATAAGCACCATGATGTTATATGGCGTCCATGTTAGGATGAAGGCCAACAAGATAGCGCTGAGAGTCTGAGCTGCCTTCCTCTCCTTGATCAGCACCATCCTCTTTCTTGGTGATCTGGTTCTTCAGTGTGGCGTCTATGGTCTTCGCCGTCGAGGAGGTGGATGGAACGCTCATGGACTCAGCCGAAGAGAAAGTCGATGATGCCATTTTGGTTTCTCCATTTTTGATGTGGTTCTCCACGTCAGTGTCTTTGGCCACAGGCTTAAATTTGTAGGACACACACTTGCCGCTCTTCTGAGAGTTGCTTTTGGGCGGAGTCTGAAAGTAGCAATCCTCCTCATAGCTACTAAGCTGCTCGCTCTCGCTGCCCACTCCGCTCTTGAGGGTCTCACAAGCCTGGTTCCTGAAGGAGGGTTGCAATCCCCCTGGTGACACTGGCCTGTCCTCGTCCTCTGACGAAGCGTAACTGTTGAAGGTGGTCAGCTGACCAGCTTTGGACCACTCGTCATTGGTGGTGGCTGCTGATTTGGCCGCATGGCTTCTGCTGGAGGAAGACCAAGAGGCTTGATTCCTGTCATGCGATGTTGACCTTAATTTACAGCTAAAACAGGATCTGACAATGGTCTTCTGAGGCGGAGGGACCCCAGGCTCGGTGGGATAGGTAATCCCCTGCAGCTCAGCCAGATCTTTGGTCCTTTTCTCAGTCTCCTTGTAGATTCGACAGTACAGAATTGTCATGACTGACACGGGAATGTAAAAGGCGGCGATCGCTGTCCCAAAGGTTATCACAGGCTCGGAGAGAAACTGGATCTGGCATTGCTTCTCATCGACATTCCTTTTTCCGACAAAGTACTGCCAGCAGAGAATAGGTGGGGCCCACAGAACAAGTGACACCATCCATGCCAAACCTATCATGATGCCAGCTCGTTTGGGAGTCCTCTTGGCCCTGTAGGTCAGAGGTCTGGTGATGGAAAAATATCTGTCGAAACTGATTACCAACAGGTTCATGACAGAGGCATTACTGGCTACATAGTCCAATGCCAACCACAGGTCACAAGCAAGGTTCCCTAAGGCCCAGTAGCCCATCAGTATATACGAGGTATACAGGTTCATGGAGAAAACACCTATGATGAGGTCAGCAGCTGCCAGACTCAGCAGGTAGTAATTATTCACCGTCTTCAGCTGGCTGTTGACCTTAAAGGAGAGCATCACCAGCACATTCCCTACAATGGTGATGAGGCTGACTATAGCCGACACGGTGGCAATGGTAATCACCTCCCAGAGATTGACCATGTGAATATCCATTGTGGTATTTCCAGTTAAGTTCGGCATACTATCTCCTTCTATTTTCTTCTTTGGTTTATTTGCATCCAACCATGACAAGAGTGTTGGGACTTTTCATTTTCAAGAAGATCTCCTGGTAAGAAAAGAAAGCAAAAATGTTATTCTGGAGCCATTCAGACAGAGATGTTCCATTTAGCCACTGGATGGCATCAATTCATCATGTTGAGCATCACACACTCATGCTTTGCTATACTAAGGAGTAAGAACATTGAAAGGATAGGCTTTTGCTTTTTGAGACTTCATGTTTGTGGCGTGTTTGGCATATTGCTTCTTAACAAATGGATAGCATTTACTGTTGACAATTATATATCATGTTAGTGAAGGCTTGTTTTCTCTGATATTTGTTGCTCTCATCGTTAAGGAATTATGTTAAGCTATGTACTATATGCAGCTCACACAACTATATCAAGCTCATGTGAGTATACCCATATGGTGTTTTAGGCAAACAGTGGCACATTCAAATAAATCCAGGCCATTGCACAATTGTGTTATTTTCTCTAAATCGGTTCTTGTGTATAAACTCAATTTGTAGTTCACTAAGATGGACATAACTTGATTACGCAAAAATAAAACCAACTTTAGTGTACTCTAAATGAGCCAATACTATCAAAATAATCATTTAATGTGTTTGAACTCACAAATGCAGTTGGTGCCCAACTTAGAGTTGTGAATCATACAAATCTGCCTACGTGTCAAACTCGCTGCCAGCTAATACGTCAGCCATGCATACTATTTCTGCAGTGTTTACTAAATGTTTAAGAGTTATGGCCCTAAATGATCAAATGAGCAGATATTTTCTGAGTGGAAAGCCTGTGCAGTTCCATAGTTGTGCAATATTCACTTTAGCAACAGAAGCATTTTCAGTTAGCATATGTTATCATTTCCCGCTTTAGAACAACACTTGAACTCCTAATTTTAGAAACTTTCAGGTCTCCAAAAATAAGTACAGAGGTACGTGTATACAATTAAGTACATTAAGTAAAATATTGGGTTTTAAAAATCACAAGATACGATCGTCTTGGTTTTACACAATGATTAAGCATTGTTGTCATGGGTGATTAAGCAGTGTTCATGCTCGGTGCAAATGTCTGATACTATCAAGATGGTATATCACTTACATCAAACTACACACCCTGCACCATTAGAGGGCAGCCAACAACCTCCACACATAGAAACTAACATGAAAGTACAATTGGCCCCTTCACTCTCAGGTTATTACAGTGGGGTGCATGCTATTTTTTATCCCAGGGTGCTGGACGCACCAATCGATAGTGGCTGGGGTTTACAGTCCTTTGATGGCAGCGCTTGTACACTCCAGGTTGTATGTGGGGGGTGGGGTGGGGTGGGGTCATGTCATCTGTCAGTCTGTTTCTCTGCCCACCTGTGCCTGTGCACCAACACTCAAAAACTACATTGAGGATTATTTCTGTGGATCTGATATTACATAAACTTTTTGATGCTCCAAACTAAAAGTCTCTGCCTCCCTGTTTATACCGGTGCTGTACCAGTGGTTTTTTAATAGCTGAGAAGCTTTTGGAAGGTCATGCACAGGGCGCAGATGCTGGGCTGAAAAACATGGCACTGAAATGTACAGATTTTAAGCAGAGCAAGTGGCACAGCTTAAAATACCAATGCCGTAATGTCCAGTTGGCTGAGGTATTCCCCGGGAGAGGAGTGAGGAAATGACACTGCAGAATAGTATACACAGAGACTAGCATCAAGTTCAAACATTGTATAGTGACTATATATATATATATATATATATATATATATATATATATATATTAGTGCTGTCAAAATTATCGCGTTAACGGCGGTAATTAATTTTTTGAATTAAATGCGTTAAATATTTTAACGCATTTAACGCATGTGCAGAATGGCCCGCCCCATACGTGCCACCAGTGGCAGCGCCAGGGTATGGCTGGGGTAGGCTACACCCATACCAAGAAATGGCTTAGCCCCACCATGAAAAATGATGTTAAAGTAAGCAAAATAAAGTCTGCCAACTCGCGCGGAGTAAATTGTACAGACAGCAGTTAGTCAGATTGATTTCAATAGCCACGGTTTTGAAAACTTTTGTCACGTAGTGATCGTCTTCTCAATAGAACATCTTTGATAACGGCGTGGTGTTGTTGCAGGAAGTCCCGACGGAGAATACTTTTGCTGTAGTACGGGGTGCACATAACTGGTTATGTGCGTAATCTGAAATGCGTACCGTCACTTGTGTCACAAAGCGCATTTGCGTACCGACGTACTTGTGAAGCTTTTCCAGAAGGCGGTTAGATCACCGGACGACAGAGTCGGTCTCCGTGTGCACAGACAGGGCTGCTGTTAACGTCGGTCTGTACAACGGAATTGTGCCAAAACTACGCTAACCGGCTGCGGAGGGAGACCCCCCCCCCCCTTCACTGGAGAACTGCACTAAAACAGCTGATCACAAACGTTCACACTCTGTGGTCATGAAGTACTCCACTAGCCGCCGCCGCCCCCCCCCCCCCCCCCTCTGTCGACTTTCCTGAAGTACTCCCCCGTTGATATAAATCAACCCGTAATGAATTAAGACCCCACGGTTTGATGATTGATAGGTGTGGGTTGTCTTTCATTTTGACACGCAGAAAAATGTTTTAATAAACAGATACTGTATGTTAAATGGATATATCCGCCTTCTTTCATTTATCTTTCCATTCCCACAAAAATATACATAAATAAATGGCATATTTTGGACATAGTTCGAATGGTGATTAATCATGATTAATTAATTTTAAAGCTGTGATTAATCTGATTACAATTTTTAATCGTTTGACAGCCCTAATATATATATAATATACTAGTCTGAATGGCCATCTTTGTTTCCCTACAGAATATAATTATTTGCATATGCAAATGCTACAAATAGTGGAATTGCACTCAAACCGAGGGGATTTTATGTTGCTTCAACACATTTGATAAAAAAAACTCTCAAGAAAGACCACATGGCACTGTCATGCA